TTTTTAAGATAGAGTGAGAGAGAGAGAATTTTAATATTTATTTTTTAGTTCTCGGCGGACACAACATCTTTGTATGTGGTGCTGAGGATCCAACCCGGGCCGCACGCATGCCAGGCGAGCACGTTACCGCTTGAGCCACATCCCCAGCCCAAATTTGCTTCTTTTTATGGGAGCCTGTTGTATGTTTCTGTTAATAAACAGTCACATGTGTCCTGAGAAGAGATTGGACTAAAGACGTTTGCAAGTCAGTCCCTTTTCTGGAGTACCTGTCAGAAGTGCTGAGAAAACAGCTTCATTCATTAATGCAGGAGGATCGGGACTGCCCTGGAGAGAGCTGGCCTGTTGGGATCAGAAACCACTTAAATCAAAGCCTTTTGGCTTCAAAGCTATTTACTCTAAACTCTTCTCTATTCTTTTTTGTTTATTTTTGGTACCGAGATTGAACCCAGGGGCATTTAACTGCTGAGCCACATCCCCAGCCTTTTTCACATTTTATTTTGAGACAGGGTCTCACTGAGTTGCTTAGGGTGTCACTAAGTTTCTGAGGCTGGCTTTGAACTCGAGATTCTCCTGCCTCCGCCTCCCAAGCTGCTAGGATTACAGTAGTGTGCCACCATGCCCAACCCTTCTCTATTCTTTGGAAAAGGGAACTTGGTGTTACATCTCAGACTCACAGCCTGAGAGCATTCAGCATGACTCCAAAGGAATGGACAGAGGTAACATTTTTCTTTAGGAATCGCCCCAGTGACCTGTTTGATATTGTTTCAAATCACATTGACTTTAAAAGAAAAACCAGGTTGTTTTTGATTTTTTGTTTGTTTTTTTCAGTGCTGGGGATTGAACCTAGGACCTTGTACATATTAAGCATGTGTTCTACCACTAAGCTATACCTCCAGCCAAAAAGAAAACACACACACACACACACACACACACACACACACACACACACACACATACACACACACACACAGTTTAACCTCTCTTATATCCAAGTGAGTTGGGAGGAAAATGTAACCTATGCATATTTTTTAATAGGTATTAAAGTTTCTACATGACAAAGGATTCCCTTATGGGCACCTTCATGCCTCCAACGTGATGTTAGATGGGGATACTTGCCGGCTGCTAGACCTGGAGAATTCCTTACTGGGCCTTCCTTCCTTCTACCGGTCCTACTTCACACAATTCAGGAAAATCAATGTAAGTCACTAAAGCAATGAAGCAGTAGCAGGACCCCTGATCTTCTCATGTAGGAAATAGTGCTAAGAAGAGAAAGGCAGAGCTGAGGTGGGCCTTACCCATTGGCCCTGTTTTTCTCAGGGAGCGTTGCTGGATAGGGCAAGGAAGGGGGTGAAATCATTAATTGGAAAATGACAGAGGTAGGACCATGATGTTTGGTCAGAATGATACCTTGTGAGCTTTCACGAAAGGCTTTGGAATTGCATTTTTACTGCCAATTGGGAGTAGGGCTGCCCCTGGGCCTGGTTTCTCAGTGGAAGCTTTGGGCAGGAGCAGGGGGTCTAGGTGGAGGATGAACATGGCACTGCTCTCTTTCTTCCACAGACATTGGAAAGTGTGGATGTCCACTGCTTTGGCCACTTACTGTATGAAATGACCTATGGACGACCGCCAGACTCAGTGCCTGTGGATTCCTTTCCTCCTGCACCATCCATGGCTGTGGGTCAGTATAGGGTTTGGAGGGATCTCCCGGGCTCAGACAGAGCCACTCTGTTTCCAGAGTCCAGGAAGGACCTAGAGGACGTTACTATCCTCCACAACCAGAAATACACTTCAGCAAACATTCAGATGGCTTGACAATTGGTGGGGCCATCTGAAACCTTCAGGAAACTTCTTGTAAAATGCATTAGCATTTTTTAAAAAATATCTTTATTTATTTTTATGTGGTGCCTAGGATCGAACCCAGTGCCTCACACATGTGAGGCAAGTGTTCTACCTCTGAGCTACAGCCCCAGCCATGCATTAGCATTTTGAAAGTAGAGGGACATAAAGAGAAGTATAGCCAGCATGAGTCTTAATCAGAAGCAAAAGCCAGGGCCCAGCAACTTGAAGCCAGTCTTGGGGACACTGGCAGGTGTCAGGAGTCAGAACAAGGCTGGGCAGGACTGGAACACGAGAGCCATGGGTTAGAAGCCTGGCAGAGAAGAGCCCAGCAGGCCCAGCCATGGTGCAGGGTCACAAACATTCTGGATCCAGGAGCTCTTCCAGCATTACCTGAGGAGGCCCAGGAGAGCCAAAGGGTAGGTGGGAGTTACCTTCTACAGGAACTAAAGCCGACTCACCCAGGGGCCCTCCTGTTCTTCCACAGTCAGCTGAGAACTCAGCTGGAGCGGAGAGAGGAGAGCAGGGTGGCTCTTGGACCATCATCCAGGAATATACAAGTCAACACTCCAAAAATGTGGAGAGAACAGGCCCCCAAGACTATTTTGTGTTGAGTTTGAACAGCCAAAGCTGAACAGTGACCTTCAGATAGAAAGTCTCTGCTGTTTTTGATGCCATCCAAGGTGTTGGATAACGAGGTATCAACAGCTGGCATTTCATGTGCTGGTTTTGATTTAAATCAGGCAAGCAGCAAAATGACTTTCAAGTTCCAAATTGTGCTTCTGTGTAGGGTTTACTTCTTTTCTGAAAGAATAAACACTTTTTATGAATGAGTCCCAATTATCTTTGGAATACACTTGGCTTTCTGTCAGCGTGTGGCTCCTGAGGCATTTCTTTTGAGTCATTGGGAACACGAGTGTTGCCAGCATCCCCCCTCCCCCCATGTATGCCATCTGTCTGTGTGTGAAGAGTTTTGACACTGTCCTGATCAGCCTGCAGACAGTTATTACAAAGCGGTGTCAAACTTTTCATCACCAAGCGGATTTGCCAACGTGTTCTGTAGAACTAAAATGTGTATCTGTTCATTTCAAGTGGCCGTGTTGGAGTCTACGCTGTCTTGTGACGCCTGTAAAAATGGCATGCCTGCCGTCTCCCGGCTCTTACAGATGCCGTAAGTCAATTATATGCATTGCTTGTCACCTTGATAACTGTTGAACACCAGACTGCTGTGCCTGGTACTGTACTAAGGACTGAATTGTGGTCCCGGTGGAGTTGAAGTGACCTGCTTGCTGATGGTCACTTGCAGCATGATACCATGACCTCCCCACTCTCTCATATTGTCCTTGAACATTAATGTCCTTTTATGTGTGTCTCTCCTCTGTCAACGTTAGCATTGTATGTGTGTGTGTGTATGTATGTGTGTGTGTACATGTGAAGCCCCAAACTTAGGAATGCCAAAGGAGGGCCTTCTCAAGCCCCTCTCCTTGCTAACCTGTTTGAGCATGCCAGTTAGCACCCAGCTGTGGGTAGTTCACAAGCACAGGGCCTTGGAAGGTTTGCCTTTTAGGAGAAGGCAATGTATTTCTGGGCTTCTGAGCTTTGTTTGCTCATTTCCTCACTGGGTACTATTGAACTTCTAGCCTGTATCAGGCACTGTGCTAAGGGCTGTGCATTCAGAAGACATTCTCCCTTAAACAGAGTTAACAATACTTTTTTTTTTTTTTTTTTTTTGGTACCAGGGATTAAACCCAGGGGCACTTAACTACTGAGCCACATCCCCAGCCCTTTTTATATTTTATTTAGAGACAGGGCACTGAGTTGTTTAGGGCCTTGCTAAGTTGCTGAGTCTGCTTTGAACTCGTGATCCTCCTACCTCAACCTCCTGAGAGATTACTTCATCAAAGCAGTTGATAGTGCTTTGGGGCCTTTCTTTTAGGTACAGTTTCTATTCCTTTATGGAGAAGAAGCTGAGCTAAGGTTAAGGAGGATGTGGCTGGAGTCAGACAGACCTAAGGTGGATCCCAGGTTTGCCACTTCCACCTGGGAAACTGTGGGAGTGGAGTTTCCCAGGCCCATTGCTTTGTCTGTACCAGCTTGTTGTGTAACAGATGGACTCAGAAACAATAACAGAGGCAAAGGAGGCAAGGGACAATTTGAAGAGTGTGCAGCAAAGTTCAAAGAAGGTGTATAATTTCAGATTCCTTGCTCATTATTCTCATGAGTGTTTAGAAAGGACCTTCTGTAGGCCAGGAGCTGTCCTGGTCCCTGGGGAGACAGATGAATGGTAGAAACAAACCTGCCCTGTGGATATGACATTGGAATATTCCACAGATCCAGGAGCATCTATGTCCAGACCCACTGCTATTATAAAAGTATGCATGCATATGGAAAAGTGGATCCAGTTGAGAAAGCAAAGTAATTTCTACCTGGGCATGATGGTACATGCCTATAATCCTAGCAACTTGAGAGGCAGAGGCAGGAGGATCTCAAGTTTGAGGCTAGCCTCAGCAACTTACCAAGACCCTGTCTCAAAATAAAGAAAAAAAGGTTTGGATATATAGCTAAGTGATAAAGTACCCCAGGGTTCAATCCCCAGTATCAAGAGCAAAACAAACAAAAAACCCAAGTAATTTCCACCCAAAGTTTTATTTATTTATTTATTTATTTATTTATTTATTTATTTATTTATTTATTTATTTTTTTAAAGAGAGAGAGAGAGAGAGAGAGAGAGAGAGAGAGAGAGAGAATTTTAATATTTATTTTTTAGTTATAGGCAGACACAACATCTTTGTTGGTATGTGGTGCTGAGGATCGAACCCGGGCCGCACGCTACCGCTTGAGCCACATCCCCAGCCCCCACCCAAAGTTTTATAACAAAATGCATTTGTAGGGAGGAGGCAGCGTGTTCATTTACTTGATTTTGCATTTGTACTCTCTTCTCCAAAGCACTTCCATTTTCCTCCCAGGCTTCTTGTTCTAAAGTGAATCCAAATATATTTTTCTTCACCCAAGTCTCCATCCTGTGGGCTTCATCCTTGACAAGAGCCCAGGGTGAGGGGTGATTTATGTTCAAGTAAATGTGTTTTTTGGAAGTAAATAGAGGCCTGGCAGGGGAGGGTCAGGAGGTTGGGGAGTCCTCTGAGGAAAAGGCAGTCCTATGGTTTCTGCTTGGGATGAATTTCCTGTCTTTACAAAGTAGGGAATGGTCAAATGGGCACTATCCAAGCAGCCATTTTCATCAAAGCAGTTCAGAATTCCTCATGCTATTGTTTTTGTTTGTTTTTAATATTTATTTTTTAGTTATAGGTGGACATAATATTTTATTTTTATGTAGTGCCGAGGCTCGAACCTAGTGCCTCATGCATGCTACCTCTGAGCCACAACCCCAGCTCCCTCATGCTATCATTCTTAATGACTGGCTTTGGAAGAGAGAATTGCTGTTCTCCAAAAGCTGCTGTTTTTTAAAATTATGCATGAGAAACATTAGAAAAAAATATTTTTCTCTTGGATTCCAATCAGGGCAATTCTTTTCCACTTCTTCTTTATTTTGCTGGGCTCTAGAATAAATTTTGTCCTTTTCTGAGGCATAAATAAATAAATAAAAAGAAGAATAACAGATATTTTGTTTAGAACTATCTCTACATGTATTATTTGTCATATTTTTGCAAAAATCCTTTTTTTTTTCCCCCAAATACTATATTGCCCCATGGTGGGGAAACCATCTCCCCCACACAGCTGGTCCAGTGCTCCCTAATACCCCTGAGCCACTGGGGAGGGAGTTCCTGAGATCACACTGGGTGGCCTGTAAACTGCTTCGCCTTTGTGGGTAAACTTGGAGTGGTGGCTTGGCTGGGGCTGAGTATGTGGTGGGAGAAGGGAGACCTCAGGTATTATAGGTGTCTTAATATGCCTTGATCCTACTCTGGGAATATACCTGGTTTAAAAAGGGTTTTTGTTTCTTTCTTTTTACAGATTATTCAGTGATGTTTTACTAACCACTTCTGAAAAGCCACAGTTTAAGGTAAAGCGAGTGATTATATCTTTTTTTTTGTTTGTTTGTTTGTAACACAAATAAGTTAGCCTTGAAAGTTACCTTTTTGTTCAGTCATATAAGAAACTGTAGACAATAGGGAAAAAATTGAAAGTAATCTAAATACTGTATTAGGAACTAGTTTTATCATCTCTAGTACATTTATTTGGAAAAAAAAAGAGTAAATCCAATAAAAATGAAATGTATTAAGGCATTGTAATAGTATGTAAAGCAATTATGATTTGGGCTAAGTTTTTTTTTTTTTTTTTTAAGCTGAGTATGAAATATACTGTGTAAAACCACATATCTGTGTCTAGAGAAAAGTCTGGAAGGAAGTCGCGGGGGAAGCAGTGGTGTGGTGTCATGGGAAGAGCATGAAAAACCAGAGTAATGCTTTGCTTGTAGGATACCAGCCATTACCTACAGCGGGGCTTCTCAACTGTGGCATTTGATTTTGGGGCTGGATAATTCCTTAATGTGGGAGCTCCCGGCCCGTGCACTGCAGGGTGTGAAGCAGAGGCCCTTCCTTCATTGTGGCAACCAGAAATGTCTCCAGGCAAGAACTGGGAATGTAGCTCAGTGGTAGAGCACTTGCCTGGCATGTGTAAGGCCCTGGGTTTGATCCCTAGCACCACACACACACACACACACACACCCCAAAAAAAAAAAAAAAAAAGAAGAAGAAGAAGAAAAAGAAAAAGAACTAGAAAGAAAGTCAAAACAAAAACAAAAATACCATGACAGTGTCTCCAGACATTCCAGATAAGGGTCTATAAAACTGCACCCAGTTGAGAGCCACTGACAAGTGGCCACTGGCAAGTACCTAACCTTCTAGTTGCTGTCTACTTGCATGTCCCACTGGGGAGTAATACCAGCCTGTCATTGGTCAACTGAGACTACTTTCGCACACTCCTCATTCAGGTCCCATCTCTCACCTGCGTGCAGATTTGGGCAGGAGGCTGACATGTAATTTTGTGTCTTCTCTCTGTTTTGCAAAAAAACATGTCATGCTATTATGATGAAAACGAACAAAGCAAAGAAAGAAAGAAAAGAAAACCAAGGTGAAGCTAGATTGTATAAGTGAGAAATGTTTCCCTCTGCTCTGTTTGCTAGTGTCGTGATGGACAAAAGGTGCAACTTATGCAGTCGAGGGGGAGAAATAAAGAATGTCCACACTCTTTTGTTCTTTTCAATGCTTTATTCACTCAAATCGCTCAATACAATTTCACTCTATAGGTTCTTACTCAAGAAAATGACAATCCTTAATGCTAGGTACTGCAATAGACATGATCAATTCACAGCAAACAATTCTAGATTAATTCTAAGCACTGCAAACACAATCATGACAGGCTCACAACAGACAGATATTCCCTCTGCATTCTAAGCTCAAGTGTCAGAACAAAAGCCTCCAGCCTTAGGCTTTAAGTCAGCAGATGCACATTCACTCAGACCGTGGTGATCAGGTGAGGAACCAAGGCAGGCTTCTCCTGGGGTGGAGCTGACGGCCAGTTGAGGAGAGGGTCGTAGAGACAAGTCACCCCTCTCACCCCATCAAGATGTGACTGTAGAGTTTGAAAGCAGTGAGGAAGATGCAGAGGACCAGGCAAACTATGAGAAGAGCGGGGCTGTCAGTCCAGGCCGTCCTCAGGCTCTCAGCGTGAGGGCATCAGTGTCGGCTGGCTGAATGTCTCTTCCTTTGCTCCATCACTTATACTAAGTTGGGGACCTTCTGACCACCCTTCCAATCCCTGTCAGCGGCCCTCAGATCTCTCAGTGACATCATTTGCCCTGGGGTTAAAGCATCAGGTCTGGTGATCCCCACCCTGATTTTCTTGCCTCTTCCCCTTATGGGGTGAGGACAACATGGCAGAGACTTCACTTTGAGCTTGTCAGGGTGGGGAGAAGTGACTTGTTTATGTCAGGACTATTCCTGATGATCATATTGGAGGGCTCCGTAGGTGTGCCAGGAGAGACTGCAGGTTCCAAACTGGAGTTTTAAAATGGAGTCGCTTAGGCTCAGGCCTAAGGCCATCCTTACAGCTAGTCAGAGAAGTTCCCACAGAGTAAATGGTTTCTTTGGATTCTGAGGTAGGAAGAAATAAAAATAAATTCATCTCCTTCACTGAAATCTCTTAGGAAATGTATTAATTCAGGCTTTCAATAAATATACTCTCTCCCAGCCAGACTTTCTAGTCCCTAGGATTTAGGGATTAGTGTTAGATTTCACTCCTTCTCTAAGCCAGCAACCCTTTCCATAAAAACAATGATTTTAAAAAGCAGAACTAAGTTCCTGTAGATGATTTCCTGTGGAGGTTACACAGGAAACTGGTGACACTCGCTGACCCCAAGGAGGGCAGTGAGGTAGGAGACTTTTCACTGTGTATGTACCTTTTTACACCTTTTGGATTTTGAACTAACTATATGACCTACTAAAATAAATTAAATTAAATTTTAATTTTTAAAACAATAACAAAAGACAAAAAGTTCAACATGCTCTGGGTGTCTCTTTTCCAGGTCTGGACTCCTCCTGGTTTGAAAAGCTAATAAATTAAGAAATAACAGGGCTGGGCATGGTAGCACACACCTATAATCCCAGTGGCTTGGGAGGCTGAGGCAGGAGGATTGCAAGTTCCAAGTCACCTCAGCAATTTAATGAGGCTCTGAGCAACTTATCAAGACCCTGTCTCTAGAAAAAAATATTAAAAAGGGCTGGGGATTTGGCATAGTGGAAAAATGTCCCTGGGTTCAATCCCCAGAACTGGGTGGGGGGGTATCATTGCCAAATCTAATGTCATGAAGCTTTTATCCAGTGTTTTCTTTTAGTTTTATGGTTTTAGAACTTACATTTAGGTCTTGAATCCATTTTAAATTAGTTTTATGAATGGCGTAGGGTTCAGCTTCACTCCTTAGAATGCAGATTTCCAATTTTCCCAGCACCATTTATTGAAGACATTCTTTGCTCATTGGATGTTCTTAGCACCCTTGTCAAAGATCATTTGACTGCATATGAGAGTTTTTTTCTTAGGTTCTCTGTACTGTTCCATTATTCTAGGTGTCTGTTTTTACATCAGTATCACACTAGGGTTTTTTTGTTTTTTATTTTGTTCTAGGGATTGAACCCAGGGTGCTTAGCCACTGAGCCAGTGTCCCTAGCCCTTTTTTTTTTTTTAAGAGAGAGAGAGAGAGAGAAAATTTCAATATTTATTTTTCAGTTTTCGGCAGACACAACATCTTTGTTTGTATGTGGTGCTGAGGATCGAACCCGGGCCACACACATGCCAGGCAAGCTCGTTACCGCTTGAGCCACATCCCCAGCTCTCTAGCCTTTTTTTATTTAGAGACAGGGTCTCTGAGTTGTTTGGGGCCTCGCTAAGTTGCTTAGATTGGCTTTGAACTCACGATCCTCCTGCCTTAGCCTCCTGAGTTGCTGGGATTATAGGCATGTGCCACCTCACCTGACATCACACTATTTTGATTACGTAGCTATGTCATTATTTTCAGACTCAAGAGCTCAAGTTTGTTTTTCTTCTTCAAGATTATTTTGGCAGTGTGAGATCCACTTGAATTACTTGAAGTGTAGATTATGCCTCTGTTTTAGTTTTATGTGTTCATTGCTAAAAAATGCCCAAGAGGTGAGTGTGTTAGGGACACTAAATGTGGCTAAGATAGCATTCAAGTGGACAGCTCGAACTGGTTTTATTTCAGAGAGCCTCCTCTGGGTAATCAGCTACTCCTCATGGACTCCAGGATTCAGGAGACTCTCCAGCCCCTTCATTCAATAGATGATGTACTTTTTCTTCTTTCAGATTCCCACAAAGTTAAAAGAGGCATTGAGAATTGCCAAAGAATGTATAGAAAAGAGACTAATTGAAGAACAGAAACAGGTAAGTTGATCACAATTCTTCATCGCCTTTTGGTCTTTAGTGTCCGCATCCTCTGCCATGGTATTCGCCAGGGGGTTGAGTTTTTATTTTTTATTTATTTACTTATTTATTTATTGGGTTCTGGGGATTGAACTCAGGGGCACTGGACCACTGAGCCACATCCCCAGCCTGGCTTGTATCTTTGTATTTTATTTAGAGAAGGGTCTCACTGAGTTGCTTAAGGCCTCACTGTTACTGAGGATGGCTTAGAACTCGGGATTCTCCTGCCTTAGCCTTCCTGCACCACCACACCTGGCCAGGGGTTGAGTTTTGACTGATTTTTCATGCCCTAAACATTTTGTGCTTGGTTGCTCTCAACCACATTCCAAGCTGGCTACTGGGACAAAGGGCCAAATATTCACAATCCTACCCACAAGCAGCTCAGTCTATGGGGGGAAAACACATGGCACAAAGGGTGGTCATTCTTTATGATCAGGGCATGCTAGGTGGTTAGGGGTATGTGTAGTTTGAGGCTGGCCTCAGCAACTTAGTAAAGCCCTGTCTCAAAATAAAATGAAAAGGATTGTGGCTGTGGCGCAGTTGAAAGAGTGTTTGCCTAGCTGCATGAAACCCTGGATTCAGTCTCCAGTACCAATAAACAAATTAATAAAACTAAGATGCAGGGAGGAACCTGGGGAGTGAGAAGTTGTGCATCACCTGACATACTTACTCCTCCCAGACATTCAGACCCAAGCCAGGAGACAGGGAGGCTGAGTAAAAAAAAAAAAAAAAAAAACAAGATTGTTGATTGTTTTACCCAAATAATTTGATTTGGCAAAGCATATTGGAGAAGATTTTCTTTAGGAAAATGCCTTATGTAGGATGTGCTTACATTGTGGTGGATTGTGATCTCTTAAAGATTCACCAGCATCGAAGACTGACAAGAGCTCAGTCACATCATGGATCTGAAGAAGAAAGAAAAAAGAGAAAGATCTTAGCTCGGAAGGTAAGCCTGGCATCTCTGAGTTCCTGGTAAATGCTCGACTAGTGTGAGGAAAGTTCTAGGTGAACATTTAATGACTTTGTGCTGTATCTCCTTGAAAGCTGAAAGTACTTCCAGATGACTGGTTTGGAGCTTTTTAAAAGCCACATAATATCAGCAGTGTAATGGACCATATAGTTTTCTGGCTTACTGAGGTTGTTATGGCAAAATGTAATTGGTGGAAATGATCGGCCTGAGATAGTAAAGTCAGCATTCTGGGTTTTATTTCCCTCTTTAGTTTTGGCTTGTGGCTTCTTCACTGTGCTAAGTTATGAGGCCCAATATGACCATGTTTGTAGCTAGTTTAACTGTATGTCTGGAAAATTTTTTATTCTAACTCTCAGCTTCAGCATGTTTATTCTTTGCTCCCTTCTTTCTTTTAAAGAAGTCAAAACGATCTGCTATTGAAAATAGTGAAGAGTATTCAGCAAAGTACAGCAACTCTAATAATTCAGGTAACTGGCTATAGATTTTAGTGGGGCCCAAGAGTCAGAGGTCAAGGTCAGGTGCTTGTGATTGGTCCAGAGGTTTTGGATTCTTGTGGGCGTAGACTGGGCACCCATACAGAAAACAGAAGAACTCTGATCCTGACGAAGGATTGTGACAGCATTCATGGCCTCAGAACTCAAGTGCTAGAGGATCTCAGAGGTTATTAGATAGCTCTGCTTCTTCATTGTCATTGGCTAATCAGCCACCTACACAGGAGCATTCGCCATGGAAGTAAAACAGACCCTACTTAAAATGCAAGGAATCCTGTCTTTCTGTAGAGGCTTCATTAACTGAAAGAACCCTTAATCCTGCCCTCTGCTCTGCACCCCACATGGTGGGAGGATGGGCTTCTCTGCATAGATTAAGGAAAGGACTCAGTGGTGTGTGGGGATGGCAAGAGCATCATTCCAGAAAGCCCAAGATGAGTCAAAGGGGTAGGCCTTGCCAGGTGCGGTGGTACACACCTGTAATGCCAGCTGCTCGGGAGGCTGAGGCTGAGTTCAAAGCCAGCCTCAGCAACTTAGCAAGGACCTAAGCAACTCAGTGAGACTCTGTCTCTAAATAAAATACAAAAGCAGCTGGAAAAAAAACTTACTAAAACAACACTTATCTTTCATTAATTCCCCCATGTATTTCTGAGTTACTTTCTCTTGGTGTGCCACCTCTACAAGTCGAAATTCCTTTCCTTTGTCTAGTCATTTCTCCACAATTTATTGCCCTTGGTTAAAATGGTATGTAAATCCCTAAGTCTAAGGGCTTTATTGGGCTTATCATTTATTTTCTATGGAAACTCCATGCCACTTAAAAGTATTAACATCAAATAAAATTAATATGCTTTTTCCTGGGAGCGGGGGGAAGAGGGCTGGGGATGTGGTCCAGTGGTTGAGTGCCCTGGATTCAGTCCCCAGCACCAAAAAAAAGAAAATGGTGGAGGAAAGTGAGGATCTTTACAGGTCATGCCTCATTCTCCTGGGTGAAGTCAGCCAAGAGGATATCTGCCTGGGCTGGAGAAAAAACTGAGAGAAAAGTGAAGTAAGGGTTGTTGAGGGAAATGTACAGATTACCGGGAGACACTACTGGGACTCAAGTTCGGTCTTCTCTCGGTTAAAATCTGTCATCACTACAAACAGTCTGAAAGTAGCACACGTTGAATTTTACCTTCTGTGCAAGGCAAGCACTCTACCAACTGAACTCTATCCCCAGCCCAGAGTTTTACCTCCTATTTCAGTAGAAAGCTCATATTTTATAGGGAGCTAAAGGAATATTGCGAATAAGGGAAGCTAGAGGAAGGCATGGCTTAATTAGGATGTCTCTTAGTGTCCATGAGGGAGGGGATTGAGTTGAGAGTGTGGTCATGGCTGTGAGCTTAACCACAACAGCAAAAGGTGACGGCCCTCCTTTTTGAGGTGTATGCCCATCAGCCCTGGAGGCTCTTGGTTAGGAACTCCATGTGCAAGGAGGGTGGGGCTTCTTGTCTTTATAGAAGAGGCTTATGTAGGAACTGCCATCTGCTTCTAGGGCTGCGTCCCTGTCCATCCAGTGCGATTATTTTCTAGGGATGTCTAAGCTACAGGGAGATGCTGAGAACTTGGGAGTGTTTGAAATATAACAAGGCTACTAGACCCAGGAAAAGCATGCAATGTGTGGAATTTTGCACATTGTTTTACTGTAAATACTGTTTTACTGTATTTACTGAGTGTCATGTAAGAAAAAACATGGAAAATCCACAGGCTGCAGGCTGGACCCTGTCTAATTGATCGTACCCGCTCAGAACTGTACCTTTCTGTAGAAAGCAATGCTGGGTGGATTCTGTGAGGAGCTCATGTTTTCCTTGGAGAAGCTCCCATCAGGCTCTGTTCCCTGTATTGCTCTGACCACTGTCATTTGTCATTACCCAGAGATGAGGTTGGGTCCGGAAGAGAAGTTATTGCCAACATCCAAAGCTGTTTTGATTAAACAAAGTTGGTTTTAAACTAGTCAAGCGGCTGGGGGCAGTGGGACTCAACAGGCCTTTGGGGACCTGGGGAAGAAAGCAGACCTTGGACTGGGATGAAAGTCTGTTGCTCTTGAGTCCAGTTTGTGAATTTTCTGTCCTTTATCACATTGTTCTACAAGGCCCACAAGGCAGTGATGGGTTTCTGCTTGTTCCAAATTCCAAATGTCTGTTTTTGGTCCCCCATGAGGGTTTTCCTGTGTTTTATCTTAGCAGGATCTGGGGCCAGCTCACCTCTCACATCCCCATCATCGCCGACTCCACCCTCTACAGCAGGTCAGTAATGGGGTAAGGTCATGTGACTCCCTCCTGTCCACCCGTGGGAGAAGCGGGCTCTTTCTCTGGTGCCTTGGCCCAGGCATTTCAGTGTTAGGTAGCACTGCCTTCTCCTGGGAAGACCAGTGGGAATGCAGATTAGCTGTGTCTTCCAGGAGAGCTCAGGTTTCCATTTCCAAGCTTGAGTTCATAGGGAATGGACTGGTTTCGGGGCCACTTACCACTCTGGCTCAAGCTTGCTCTCTTGGCTATAAAGCCTCACAAAAGGATCCTTGGGTCAGAGTTTGTCTTGGGACAAAACAAATGCATTACTGCCCAGGGCCCTGTCCTACTGGAGCTTTCTCCTTAGGGAGCCCATTCATGATCTGAGTTTTGTGTCAGAGCAGAAATGGTGAGCTGTCTAGGTGAGGTGCGAAATCCCACCACTGTCTTCTGGTTTCCAGATAACTACTTGCACTCTATTCTACTCTGTAATGCATTTAATTATTCTGATGTTTCTTTATCATTAGTCTTTGTTTCACCTATGTGAATTAAATCAGATACTGTGAATTTTATTTGAAAATTTTAAAAAGAATTTAGCTTGGGGGCTGGGGTTGTGGCTCAGTGGTAGAACGCTTGCCTAGCATGTGTGAGGCACTGGGTTTGATCCTCAGCACCACATAAAGATAAATAAATAAAATAAAGGTCCATCTACAACTAAAAAAAAAAAAAAAAAAAAAGAGAGAGAGAGAGAGAGTTTTAGCTTGGGAGCTTACTTATAGAACTCTGATTCTGCAGAATGGTCTCATAATACTTTCTTGGCTTTCTTCCCTTTGAACAAAGATCTTTCTAAGCATTTTGCCAGCCCAGTGGAAACACTCTGGAGCAGCATATATCCTTTCACTTCTTAAATGAACCAGCTGTTCTAGATGTCTGAGGAGCTGCCTCTTCACTCAGAGCTCATCAACAATTCTTGGAAAGGTTCCTACAACTTTCTGAAAGAAGGTTGATACAGGAGTTGACAATACCACATTCATTACTGTTTAGGGTAGTATCCGGGAGCTACCAAGAGCATTTTCCGGTTGTTCTCAAATACTTCTTCCTGACCCTCCTGAGGAAATGACAACAAGCAAATGCAAGGGAGCTAATTTGAATCCCCTGCTTCAGGCTGGTGTGCCTTCCTGATGGCTAAGAGTAGTTACCAGAGGCTTATGTAGAATGTTCTGGGCCAGGACTTTTTTTGAGGAATGAAGAACCTGGCTCATGGCAGGATATTCTTGTCTTTGTCTTTGTCAGCAGATTTTTTTTAAAGAAACTCCCAAATACTGATCCAGGTTGATATGTCTTTTATGAGGTGATCTGTTTAGGTTGATCACAGACTTCTGGAGATTCGCTGTCCAGACCACATTGTTGAGCCAATTTCTAAAAGTTAGAGTATTAATTTTATACCACTTGGACATATTAAGAACATTAACTTGGAGATTCTATGAGCTCTCCTTTAACAAGCGAGGTGTCTCTTTACTGCACAGAGCACCTCACCATGTGTGTTAGATGTGTCTGGACAGTTCATCGCTAATTCTCATCTTTAAATGACGTAGAAAATGTGCAATTTGTTTGGATTGCGGGGAAGAAGTCTCTAATTTACCTCTGCTTTACATGGGAGCTATTTAACACAGTAGTATGTTTGCATGAGATGAGGTAACTTAGAATGTGAGAAGAAAAAGGGGAATCTTTTGTAATTAGAGTTAGTACTGGGAAAACTTCCTCTTAGGTGAGTAGAAATTGGCAGGAGGCAATACTGTGAATTTGACAGTACCTACTCTGAAGGGGAATCTTGAGGATTTAGAGGGAATTTTGAGGTCTAAGCACAATAACTGACAGAGATGGGAAGTCCCCAACAAGTAGGGACTCCTATCCTTTAGGGTTGATCAAATTATTGATGTCACCCCAAATACAATACTCTGACCTCTGCTGGGCATTTCTTGTAATACATCTCATAAAAAATAATATTTAGCATTTGCCTAGCAACCTAGCATTGCAGGCCCCAAATGGGGTTCCTACAGGGAGCTTCTTCATTCAAGATGCATTGTAGGGAGCGTGTGATTTCCAGGGGCTGTGTGTGGCCCTGTGTGACCCAGACAGGCAGACAAGGTCCCAGCCTTCATGGAGTCACCTTTTCAGCATCTCAGAAGCTCTAGTTCAGGCAGATGCGTTCCTCCATTCACTGTTAGTTAGTTACCAAGGCTGGAACCAGTCAGTTTCCACTGCTGGGTTTTAGTTACCTCCTCAGTAAATAGCAGAAAAGCAAAAGTTAGAAGAGACCATGTCACAGTTCCTTCTAATCTGCATACTCTAAACCCAGTGTGGACTCTGCCCTCTGGCACTTCACTCAGCAAGAGACCAACAGCAATAGGTCAGCTTAGGTGAGCTGAGCTGACAGCAGTGCTTCTCTTCTGGAAAGCCTCAGTTTTACGGGTACATTTAAGGTAGCTAAGTGTGACCTAATTTTTGGTTACTCTCTGATGGGGCAGATGTTTCTAAATGGAGGGGGCTATTCCCTTTTCTCTCTAGCTCCTGCCTTGGGATCTATTGAGTTCCTTAACAAATTGGTGGAGGAATATAATTTCCCTAAGGCTGGCAGTTCCATTGGGCAGGGTGGCATTCTCTAATACTTTTACTATGATCCTATTTTTTTCAGTAAGAACATTCCTAACACTTTTTTGTTCTTCTAAAGATTTTTTTTTTTCCCTAGGAAGGTCAGTCTTTCAAGAACTTAAAAATTCTTTATCTTGACTGTGTCATGGTGAATGCCACCAACTAGTGTTTATTCTCTGTTTTCATAGAGCTGAGCGGGTTAAAAGTTCTCACTTTCACCCCACTTAGGGAGCAGAAAGTTCTGTTACTTTGATATAATTTTTTAAAATTTTATTTTAAGTAGATTAGTAAACGAGTGTTTTAGAAAACCTAAATAAGCAGGAGACCCTAAGCTGTTGTTTTTAATAATCTCACCTAACATATTTGGGGCACTTATTTTGTGTCAGGTACTATTCTAAATGATTAGTAACCATTGTTTCATTTATTCTCCATGAATATTTTCCAATGAGAGTTGACGCCAGTTGAGTTCCATTTTACAGAAAAAGAAACTGAGGCTATAGTAGGGCTGAGGCTGTAGTAGAGCTGAGAGAACTTGGCTAAGGTCAGACAGTAGGGAGTGTTAGGGTCAGGATTGGAGCTTGGTTCTACCTTTGTTCATTGCCCCACTGATTTATTGAGTGCCTGCTTTTTTCAGGGTGCACTGCTGGGCCTAGGCTGTTAAACACTTCTCAGCTTGTGTAGAAGGAACCCCAAGCCAGGCACAGTGGTACACACCTATAATCCAGCCACTCAGGAGGATAAGGCAGGAGGAGCCCAAGTTTGAGGCTAGTCTGGGCAACTTAGCAAGACCCTATATCAAAATAAAAAATAAAAAGGACTCAGTGGTAAAGCACTCCTGTGTGATTGATAAACAAATAAGAAAGAATCCTAAATATAGAATCAGGAAACCTGAAGTGAGTCCTGAGTCCTAGCTCTATCACTTGCCTGCTGTGATCTTGGGCAAAAAATTTCCACTCTTTGAAGCTATTTTTTTTTTTTTTTAATACCAGGAATTGAACCAGGGGCACTTTACCACTAAGCCACATCACCAGCCCTTTTTAAAAAATATTTTATTTACAGACAGGGTCTCACTGAGTTGCTTAAGGCCTTGCTAAGTTGCTGAGGCTGGCTTTGAACTTGCGATCCTCCTGCCTCAACCTCCTGAACTATGGGATTATAGGTGTGTGCCACTGTGCCCGGTTGAAGCTGTCTTTTAAAAGAACTCCTGCACCTTACTAGGTAGATGCTGTACACAGCAAAGCTATAAGCAATGAAGTGCCATAAGCTAAGTGTCTGTCATCAGAGAATTTTAGCCCTTGTTGCTTACAGTTTAATTTTAAGCAATCATTTTGAGGAAGAAGATCTGACAGTTTGTAGAAAACCCAGTCTATAAGAATGAGTGGGGAAAAAGAGAAGTTTTGACTCCAGAGAGCTGGAGGTAGCAAAGCAGAGCCTCGTGGGCATGAAGAGTGATTAGGGGCTTAAAGAATGGGACAGAAAGTGAAGGACTAATAAGGAGGAAAAGAAGACTTAAGGCACAAAGAAAGAGATGAGTTTATTTAGAATGTTGAAGTTTCTAAAATTTACTTAATCAAATCAAAGCCTAAAACCTCATTGTAGACTCAAAATTGCTGTGTCTGGCCATAAGAATGGTCTGTCTGTCTCTCAGAAACCACACATACACAAAGGCGCACTCTCTGGGATGAGCAGGGCTGCCCTGCAACCAAACTCTGAAGCACGTGTTGACTCTGTTCTTCTGCCCACTGCTGCCACCTGCTGTGGCCATTCTCAGCTCTCTTCCTCCTCTTGCAAGTCCAGTTCCTAGTATATGACCTCCTCCTTAGAGTACTCTCCTAGAATGGAGAGGAGAGGTGGGCAGGTGTTCCCAGCATCCTTTGTGTCTTCCAGACCATCCTGGTGTGAGTGGTCAGTCTGCATCACCCAGGGGGTACTAGTTCCTGGTCCACCTCCAGGGAGGGGATTTTTCCTCCAGGCAGTGTATGGAATTTGTTCCTTAGGAACTCTGGGATTCCCTCTCTGGGAAACCATTATCCCTCACATTAAACTGGAAACTTATAAGTTGAAAAGAAGACAAGAAAAATATTTGCCTTTCTTCTTCCTTTCCTCCCTTCCCTCTTTCCTTCCTTTCTTGCCTTACTCATGCTTTACCAGGGGAAGGTGACCCTTATCTCTGCCTGGGAGGCCTCCCGCCCAGGCGATCCACCTTGAACCTGCCCTATGCTTTTTCTCTTCCCAACTTCAGAAAGTCTATATTTTAGACATTTCAAGTCTTGCTTGCAAAAAAATAAAATAAAAAAGTGGCGAGTTTTCCTTTCCTCTCCTCGATCCTTGTTTGGAAATAGAATGAAGTCCACTGCTAATGCTCTTCAGGACCGGGAATCTCCCTGGCTCTTTTGAAGTGAGCACTGTGCTTATAAAGAAATAAAAATAGCACCTAACTGGCTCAGGAGAGAAAGACTCTGAAGAGGAAAGTGACTCATTGATTGCTCTATTACTAGATTTCCCATGTCCTAAAAGGGTCACAATCAGGTTTAAAAACCAGGGCATTTTGTGGTTAATTTGAGTATCTCCTAGTTTTGCAGTGAGATTAATTAGCATGTGATTCAGACTGTCTGATTTTACTGTCTGTTACTGTTTGATTAAGTGACACTAAAACCTGAATAATGACTTGTGTCCTCTCTCTCTTTCTTTCTCTTTGCTGTTTTCAGTAGAGCATGCGCCATTTTGAACGTGAATTTTCGGTAAAGTAAGCTATGCTAATTTCTCTAACTTTAAAGATGCTCTGTTTCTGTATGTGACTAGAACCCAAAGTGTCTAGATCACTAAGGTGATGAGCACATGGGAGAGCAGATTTGAGACTGTGTCCTTATGGAACATTTCAATGAAATACAGCATCTTTAAAAAGCACCCAAATGACTTCATCTATATTCATTTCATTTCCATCACGACCTTCAAAAATCTTCATTTTCACTCTGATTTTTGTTATAAAATACAGCTCTAAAACCTGCTAATTGACTGCATGGCATTTTGATGTATTTTAATTTTGGAAACCATGACTCCCAAAGTCCTGTTGTTACAGAAATATTGGTCCCTTCTCATTCTGATCTAGAGGAAAAGGTGTTAGGAAAAGGCTGTAGGGTTTTGGGGTTCCAGGGAGACAGCTTACTGGCTTGCGTAACTGATGATGGTCGGGAACAGTTCTTTTTAAAGCATCCTTAAAAATTCTCTAGTCGGGACCTGGGAATAGCCTCCTTCTTTGCCTGAGGTCAAAGTGAAGATAGTTCCCAAGACCTGGGGACCAGGGGTTGGGGCTCTCCACTCTCTCCTGAGAGTGGTAGGTAGTCTGGTAAGGCTCTAGTGTGGTCTGGTGGCCACTTGGCCTCCCACCTATGTGTGTGGACCAGAAAGGAACTCAGCCACAGAGACCTGTAAATTACCCTCTGCTAAAATTGGCCTGAGGACAGAGGATTTAGGTGTCCTTTTCATGAGGCTGTCTAGGGTATTTCTGGAATGGCATTCCTCCCTACGTCTCACCTACTTTCTTGGGGCAGCAGCCTGTACTTTCCTCTACTGGACGGCCAGGTTCCCATTGAGTTTGGTGGAGAGGATTTCAGGAAGGGTAGAGTAGCTGGTCTTGGAGATTTTTTCTAAGAGAAAGGGAGCTGGGAGAGATCAGGACTGACTGTCTCCCTTCCTAGATGCATAACGTGAGGCCAGCCTACTCTGTCGCCTGGGGAAAGGACTATCTGGGACCTTTTGCAGGAGGAGCTTTTGCATTTGAGACATGGAGCACACATCAGGCAGTTGTTCCTAGGTTTGTCACAGGCCTCATAGCTCCTGAACTCCATCCACACCTCATCCCTGCCATTGTTACCAGTGTATTGTAGCTTAAGTCCCAACAGACCTTTAAAGGAAGCTTGTGACCTTAAAAAAGCAAGAAGAAAAGTTCCAGGGACAATAGATGAAACTTGTCAAGACTCAATCCCTGGAATGCGATTTGCCTCCTTCTGTTTTGACCTTTGACTCCTAGGCCTCCCCTCCCCTTGCAGAGGGGGTTCTGAGCTGGTAATGTGGGCTCTGGCCTTCCATGAATGTGAGTGTATACATCAAGACCTGCCATAGTTCCTGCAGGCCTAGTGAGGAAGAGTGGCCCTTTGGTGCCGGTCTGACCCTCTGTGAGCAGACATCAGGGTGGGTGGGCAGCTCTCCTTTCACACAGCCCTTAGCATCCTTGCTACAGGCACAGATCACCCCATAGCACTTTCGACAGTCTGTTTATTTCCAATATCTACCTTTTCAAAGTGATCAAAATTGCAAGTTTCAGCCTTTCCTGGGAAAGTGAAGATATATTTACTGAACTCCCCTCACAACTCCCAAACTCTGTGGTGGTAATTTACACTCTTAATGTCAATGCTGGACAAAGAGGCCAAAGTCAAGGGTTGGTTTCCTGTGAGGTCAGGCATTTCTGTTCTGTGCCAAGATGGCCAGCCATACCTGTAAGCCCATTCCCCAAGTCCTGTCTCTAGCCCCCCAGAATCCTGGGCTTCAGGAATAACCAGTCTCTGGGTGGCCAGTTCTGGGCTGCCAGACTCTGTCTTCTCATTCTTAACCCTGCAGTGATTCTTCTGCCAGGGGTCAGAGCACAAAGCTGAAAGGAAGAAACCCTGGAGTCCTCTCTTCTGGCCACTGGGTGAGAGTGTCTGGTAGGGGGCATTGGCACCTAAGCGGGCAGGGTTCCCTTCTCCTGGCATTTCACTGGTCACGTCCAGGAGTCCACTTCAGAGGAACACTTCCATCACATGCTCATTCCACCTGGGTTTTCTCACCTCAACATTCACTTCAGGTTTAAAGCCCTTTTTATAACCCTGTGACATAAAGTCAGGAACATCTTCCCACAATCAACGCCAGCACAGAACGTAATTGCCCTTCATGCATTAGTTGTTATCCAATAGATCAATGAAAGTACATTTTGTTCATCTGTCTGTATTTAATCTTTATTTGTATTGATCATTGAGAATCCCAAGGCTGCAGAGCATGGGTGTATGTATTTGTGTCATTCTTCAATTTTAACTGTCTTAGGTTGGGGTAAAAGATATAAAGGAAGGTAAGTGGTTTTCTATGAATTACAAGATTTCAGCTGTTGCCTGTCACAGTTGGTGGGAAGGATATACTTACTTGAATATTTTCTGGGTCACCCCAAGCCATTCATCCATACAGGTGTCTTTCCTGTTCTCACTATAGCTCACCACAGTGTGGGGAGCCACCCCGCAGAATGTCTCCCTGCTGTATCCCTAGCAGGGGTAGAGGACAGGGCAGCAATAAATAGTAGAGTTCCAGGGAGACACAGGTTCACAAGACATAAACCCACTAACCCTGTGCATAGGAAAGTTCTGTAAGGTAGTGCTATTTCTGTATTTAGTATTTATTTTGTCCCGAGAGAACAATTCACTCATTGATTCAAAAATATGAAATTCAAGTTGCAAATATCCATGTGCCTTAGAGGTGGGCATGTTTTAGATACCTGTCTAGCTTCCCCTCCTTGCCAAGTAGAGCTCAGCATTCCAGCCCCTCCTGATACGCCAGCAGAGATGCATGTCTGGTACAGTTCCATTCAGTTCCTTAGTTGGACTACCGTGGAAAGAACAGCACTTGACAAGAGACTTCTCCCTGAGAATGTCATTGCCAAGGAGAGACCCCTTTAAGTGCTTGCTTTACACTGCTCACAATCATTAGCGTTTTATATTTCTTTAACCCAACCCAGTAAATGACTCTTCAAGACAGACTCCTTTGGGGAATGCATAACCCAGCAGGTGCTGGTTCCTTGCTGAGAATCCTCAGTGGTTTATCATTTTATTTTAAATCACATCCTTCAAAATATTGCACATGTTAGAGCCACTGAACTAGTCATCCCTTTGAGTAATTGGCATTCAGGTAGCTCAGTGCTGTGCAGAAAGATGTCTGCATCACACATCTAGCTCAGAATGGGTGGGGCTGCCCGTACCTGGCTAAAGTGGATGATAGAACTCTTCTTTTGGTACTTAAATTTGGAAAATGAGATCAGCACCTTATTTATGTAGACAAAGGATCACTGTAGCCTGGCATGGTGGCCAATGCCCGTCATCCCAGCAACTCAGTAGGGCTGAGGCAGATTGAAAGTCTGAGGCCAGCCTTGGCAATTTAGTGAGACCCTCAGCAACATCAAGACCCAGTCTCAAATTTAAAAGAAGGAAAAAAGAATGTCATTGTGATTGTTGCCATGTAATCTGTGATATTTGTTCCAACAGTCTTTTCATCTGATATTTGAGGCAAATGACAATCTTAATTCCCCTTTGATGCTTCAGCTTTTCTGTTCAGTGTTTTAGAGAGTGGTACAGTACTGGGTCTCTTGATCCCGCTGAGGAGAATATTTGCAATCTCCCCTCAGTCCTTTCCACCCAGGTCTGAGCAGCAGCAGTGCCCAGGGCTGGGGGAGAGGTGCATACTGACTGTCCCCTTACCTCCACAGGGCTATCTGCATTACCTCCACCTCCTCCGCCTCCACCTCCACCGCCAGCAGCTCCCTTGCCTCCTGCGAGCACAGAGATGCCTGCGCAGCTCTCATCCCAGGCTGTGAATGGTGTGAGCCGAGGGGCCTTGCTCAGCTCCATCCAGAATTTCCAGAAGGGAACTTTGAGAAAAACCGAAACCTGTGACCACAGTGCTCCTAAGATTGGCTGAAGCTTCCTGTTTACACTGAGGGAAGAATTCATGTCTGCCCCTCTCCTACCCACTAAAGACCCTTCTTCCTGGATGAGCCCTTGAGGAATCAGTTCAGCCGTGCACTGTTCTGCAGATGCTCGGCTAAGAGGCCTGTAAGGAGGGAGCCGTCCTCCAAATAGAATAAAGTGGAGCTGGCGTTGCTGCCTTAAGAAATGTGTTGTTCCTTTGTCAGCATTGTGAAGGAGTCTGGTCATCTGCTAATGGACATCTTTTGGGGGCAGCCACATATTGGAATCAATATTTTCACCATTTAAAGGAAATGGACAGAGACAGAAGCAATGACAATGTTCTGTCACCATAGTGAATGGCCTTTCTGTTGCAATCCCTCCTACCCCTCTCATAGCTTATTTTTTCTGAAGCATTGTCACATTATTTCTTAGCTAATTCCCATTTCTGCTACTTTTATTTCTCCTCAGACATTAATACTGTGGCCCAAAGCACAGTTATGTTGCCGAGTCAGAGAAGCCACTGAGTTCTTCATTTTTTTCTTCCCTCACATAAAATGGGGGAGTTCCTAACAGTCTCAGGCTCCACCAGGAATCCCATTTTGGCTATAGAACTTGGGGCTGTGAGAACAACTACTCTGTGGACTCCTAGTTCATTTTAGTTATAATGTGCTGAAACAGATACAAAAAAGCTCTTGCCAGTTAGTTAGAGGATCTGCGTAGACCTCAACAACAAAGTCATCTGGGTGATCGTTATTACAACACAAGCAAATTTGGCATCTATATAAATCAATTCTGATTTCTGAAAGACTTATTGAATATATCATCTTTTTTAATGATACTCATTTATTAGAAATCTTTTATCCTGATTTGCTTAAACCTTTAAATAAATTGCACTTTAAAGGATTATAAATAATCCATTTTAAAATTCAAGTACACACATCAGTGTTGGTTACTATGCAGAGAGAATGTCATTGTGTATAGTTTCATGTAATCTGTGATAAATGTTCAGCTGTATTTTTTATTAAAATAAACCATGTCAAGAAAAACATGTTGTCTGGAGCTTGGCTACATGTTTCAAATGAGAACTTTTTACAGCATCTTTTGTAAACATAAAGCTTACATTAACACAGTATATCTAAAGTTTCCTTCCTACCTATCCTGCCTTTATTCTTTTGAAAAGGAACCTGTTAGAATCAGGTATTTGAAGAGTGTGTGGACAAGATCCCATTCCAAGTGTGATGTAGTCTAGGTGATCTGTTCCTGATGGTAGCTGTGGGCCTTCTAAAGTCAGCTTTGTTGTTTTACATAAAGTTTTAGATATATTGAATAAAAACAAGCAATGAGGAGCTGGGCCGGAGCTCAGTGGCAGAGCTTCTAGTATGCACAGGGCTCAGAGTTTGATCCCCAGCACCAGAGGAACACCACTGCCAAAAATGAAAATGATTTTGTACACCAGCTTTGTTTCCATTTGGCATCAATTTATTTTCTTTTTTGCAGTACTAGGAATTGACACCAGGGACACTCTTACATATGAGCTATATATCCAGTTTTTAAATTGAGACATTAAATTGCCCGGGCTAGCCTTGAAATTGTAATCTTCCTGCCCCAGCCTCCTGAGTAGCTGGGATTACAAGCATGTGCCACCACAAGAGGCAGCATTGGTTTTTTTTGCTGTTTTGGGTATTGTGGGTGGAACCCAGGGGCCCTTTACCACTGAGTTACATCCCTGGCCCTTTTTTATTTATTTTTAATTTTCAGACATGATCTCACAAAGTTGCTTAAGGTTCAAGCTGCTGAGGCTGGTCTCAAACTTGCTATCCTGATTCTGCCTCCTGGGTTGCTGGGATTATAGGCAATGCAATATGCCTGGCTAATTTCGTAAAGAATTTTGAAATTTCCACCCACATTGATCATTTCATGAATATAAAAAATATAATCAGGAATTACTTTATTCCTTATCAAAACAATCAAACAGTAAATGTAGATTATACACTTTATTTATACATATAAGTTATCTTTTTTGGATATAACTTTCATCAGTACTATGCCACACTCATACCTTGTCCTTCTAGCAAAAGAGGTAAAATTTTACATTAATGCATTCAAAGAACAGGACAACCGTAACAGACAGTGAAAGCATGGAGTCTAGGGCAGAAGAGTGGCGTCTTCCCCACTCAGACACATTCAAACATCCCACCAGTACAAAACACCTGTTGCTGCCTTAGAGAGAACTTTTTGAATTGTAAGGTCTTACAGTACAATCCATGTGAAGTCCCAGCAAGTATTTTAAGTAAATTTCAGTGACTTGATATTCATGTACAAACTAGATATTTAATGTTTTCTTTATGGCAAATATGATGTCCTTGACCTGAGGTACAGAGTTGTCTTCTAGAATCTTTGCATAAGGCATAGGGACGTCAGCACCAGTGACTCGAACAGCAGGAGCATCCAGGAAATTGAATGCAGGGCCTAGGAGAGAAGGCAGGCTTTCCTGAAGAGAGAGGCGACAGAAGCCAGCTGACTACCACCCACTTTAACACAGAGATGTGGTTACCCAGGAAAAGAAAACATAGGTGAAGAATTTCTAGTTGTGGGGAACTGTTTCTGGCTTTGCTTTTAAAAACACTTACCCAAAGGAAAAAATGCCAAAATGACAAATTGAATCACCAAGTCTTTTGGCCATCCCTAGTTTTTTGTTCTTTCTTTATCCCGTACCAATTAAGGCTTTAATTTTATTATAGCTTGACTAACATTCTAGAACCAGTTTCTCTAAAATACCTTCCATGATCCTGGCACAAATTTCAGCTCCTACTCCAAATTGTGGCCAGCCTCCTTCCACAGTTATGAGATGATTTGTCTTCATGACACTGGCTTCTATGGTGTCAATGTCCATTGGTCTGATGGTACGCATATTTATCACCTAAACAGACAGTATAACAAATATGCTTTATGGAAGCACTGCAGCACAAAGATAGCCTGGACCCTATAATACCACTTCCTTTTTTTGTTTCTTGTTAATGAATTTACAAAATGTAAAAGGAAAATTGTAATTAAAGCAAAAATCTCTTCTCTCTGCAGCTCTGTCCACATATAGAATTCATTTGTCCTCCTCAGCTCTAACTTCTATCTTGGCAAAATAAATAATAGCCAACTTGCACTGAGAGCTTAGCATGCAACAGGCCCTACACTCAGTGTAATGCTCACAGCCATCCCATGATGGAGTAGTATTTACATTATCCTCATTTTATAGCTGATGATAAGTGGAGTATGTATCTTGCCCAAGTGCAAATAGTAAGCACAGGTCCTACAGAGAAAGTTAGAATCATTAACTTCTGAGTTTGTGCCTAAGCCCAGTCCCAAAGGCTAAGTCTTGAGAAAGCAAGTACTATTTTAAAAGATCTAGATCCTGAGTGGTAAAAAGCTAAGTTATGTGATAAGCAAGCTGGTTCTTAGCTCTAAGGAGAGACAGAACTAAGTGGCAAAGCAAGATTTTACAACCAACTAACCTATTACAGAACTCAAACTCCCATTTCTAGGTCTTATATTTAAAGAGGCTTTCTGATTTCTTAAGAGCAAATGAATGTCCACTCACCTCACATTCAATTCCCTCTTTAGATAGCACTGTAGCAGCTTCTAAGCAGTGGCCCACAGGTCTGGAGTGGGAAACCACCGTTATATGTGTCCCTGAAACAGAATGGTCACAGGTCAGAGGTCAGGTTGAGAATAAAGATGCGGTACCAGTCTGCAGTCAGCTGTGGCTCTTGTTCATCTGTCAAGTCCTCAATTTCATTCCAGTGAGCCAAGGAATGTGGCCGCCTTCCTAAAAATGAAATACATACCTACTGGACTGAGATTTGAGAAACATAACTGTATGAAAAATCAGGCATCACACATCATACCTTTCCCCCCCTTTGTGGTATTGGAGAATGAACCCAGGGCCTTGTGTGGGCTAGGCAAGTGCTCCACGACCAAGCTACGTCTCCAGCTCCACACATTCTTAACCTAAGCTCACCTTGATTTTTTTAATCAAAATACATGGCAATACCTTCTAGACTTCATTTGACTTAAAAAAAATAAGAGGGGCTGGATTAAAAATAATGTTTAAATGTATACTAAATGCATAGTCTTACCTTGCCTTTCTACTTTGGCTTTTCCGATAGGAATCAGAAAATCTTTTGATTGAGCTTCTGTAGGAAATTCAAAAGGAACTCCGTACATCAATTCATTCTCTAGTACCACCACTGCAAAATATAAATATTTAAGCAAAAATTAACTAACTACATAATGACTAAAAATGCATGGACAACATCATTTATCATGTGAAAAGTTTCACTGTTTATTAGGAAGCCTTGTTTCTATTATGTCCAATAACTTACAGATGGTCTATGTCGTTAGTTGTAGTTTGGTCAATATAATTTTTTTTTTTTTAAAGAGAGAGAGAGAATATGAGAATTTTTTAATATTTATTTTTTAGTTTTCGGCAGACACAATTTGTTTGTATGTGGTGCTGAGGATCGAACCTAGGCCGCATGCATGCCAGGCGAGCGCTACCGCTTGAGCCACATCCCCAGCCCCATGGTCAATATAATTTTATCTGTTGCGGTTAAGACAGTGTTGTGGAGTGTGCAGTAAATGTCATCTTTACCTAACTGCTCCCATTTTAGTTGGAACTAAAAAAACAACCACATTCTTTACTATCTTTACCATATCTATTATCTATAAATCATTAGTATTTGATATGATATATCTAATCCTAAGTAGAGGCCTTTAATGACTCCTTCGATGCAAGGAGTTTTTAGTTTTTTTCACACTGGGGAATTAACCCAAGGGTACCTCACCACTATATCCCAACCTTTTCAAAATTTTTTTTTTTTATCTTGAGAAAGAGGCTCACTAAGTTGCTTAAAGCTATACTATGTCTCTGAGGCTAGCCTGCAAATTGCAATCCTCCTGCTTCAGCCTCCCAAGTCGTTAGGATTTCAGGTGTGTGCCACTGTCCCCAGCTTTCATTTTCTTTTTTTAAAGTTTAAAAGAGACACAGGGGTCACTCTGCTGACCTGGATTGTTATCTCGAATGGCTGATTTGATGAGTCCTTTCGCATCTTCTGAATTCCAGGGGCTGACCACCTTTAAGCCTGGGCAGTGCCCATACCACGCAGCAAAGCACTGTGAGTGCTGGGCAGCTACACCTGCTGAGGCACCATTGGGCCCCCTGAAGACTATGGGCACACACTGGAGGCCCCCTGACATATAGTAGGTCTTGGCAGCTGAATTTATAACCTGGTCAATGGCTTGCATGGAGAAATTAAAGGTCATAAATTCACAAATGGGTCGCAAACCAGCCTGTCAAATCAAAAACATTGATGTTAAAAAAGAATAGAAACAGCAATGAAGAGTGGCAAACAACCTCTCCCTTCCTCCAACATGCAATGTTTTTAAAAGACGTCTCTTTGGATAAGCTTATTACATACCATAGCTGCACCGACAGCAATTCCAGCAAAGCCCATCTGTAAAGTAAAACACAAGCCTAAGACAAAGATCTAAAAAATCAGGATTGCAAACACTGATAAATATGCTCTTCAAAGATCAACTTCCTACAGGAGGGCTTACCTCAGATATGGGAGTATCTATAATCCTTTTGTCTCCATATTTCTTCCACAGGCCTCGGCTAACCTACAATTAAGAGATGAACCCATTATTTTTAAGCACATGTTGGGGTGAAGGGTCACTTCAGTTCTGAATAACTTTCACTGATTTTGGTTACCTTGTATGCCCCGTCATACTGGGCAACTTCTTCCCCAAGAAGAAATACCTTCTCATCTCTTTCCAGTTCCTCATCCATACCTTGATTGATAGCATCTCGAACTGTCATCTGTCACAGGAATAGAAAAATTATCAATATACTAGAGGATTATTTAAAATACCATTGAGATTCTCTTCCTTTACACTTACCTAGGCTGTACACAATACGAAACATAAAATTAAAACAGGCTTCTCCTTAAAAGTTCCAAGAATTCTTAAATAAGTTATATTGTTATCTTAAACTGGATATGTCCGTT